CCCCCCCCGGCGCGGGCCGGCCCAGCCGCCAGTAGAGGAAGGAGCGGGCGCTCCTCCACTCCAGGATGTCCTGCAGGAACGGAGCAGAGCCTGGGCTGGTCTTTGCAGGAGGAGGAGCAGCTGATGGGCAGCGGCTCTTCGCTCCCAGCTCGCACCAGCGCGTCTGAAGACAGCTCTGCTGGGCTGGAGCAGAGAGCAGCACCCCCAGGACAGGGCTGTTGAAGCCCAAACCCCCAGGAAACCACAGTAAACCCCAAACCACAGCAACCCCCCAGTGCCCAGCCCCTTCCCGTGGTGCCCTGGCTCACCGTGATGACACCCTTCTCCTGCATGCGGCCCGGGGTGTCGTGCAGGTCAGCAAAGTGCACGGCCACCTGGTAGTACATGGGCAGCAGGAGCTCCTCCCGGGCCTTGAGCTGCTGCTCCAGCTCCTTGCGCTGCACCTCGGGCAGCTGGGGGGTTCCTGTGGGAGATGCCGTGCTGAGCAGCCCACCCTCCATCCCTGCGATGGGATCCACAGGCCACCGCAGGGGCTGGGCTCTGCTCCCACATCAGCTACCCACCCCCCCCCCCCCCCAACACGGGCCCCCCCCCCAGGAAATGGTGCCAGCATCACATCCCTTTGCTTTGGAACATCTACACCCCTGCTCTGCAACGACCGTGTGTCATCTCACTAGGTACTGATTCAGCGTGGCCATTGCCATTCTTCATCTCAAAGCATGGGAGAGAAGTCCAGCACCATTTGTGGAGCCCACAGGAGATACTGGTGTTTTAAGGTACCACCACATCCTCTTGGCAGGCTCCATCACCAGAAAAGCCATAAGGAATTTTCACAGAGGAACACTAAAAGGTTTCCTGATGGTGTTTTAAATGTTCTAAACTTACTGCAACCAGCGCTCACTAAGCGAAACACCCGTCCCTTACCCAGCTGCTCAGCGAGCTTGGCATAGACTGTATCGATCCTTCTCATGGTCTTCACCAAATCTTTCCTTCTGAACTTGATCTCCACTGTTCCTCCAGGCTCCAAAATGCCTGCCCTGGAAGGAAAATGTGGCAAAGATCAGGGACTGGTCTCCAGGGGAGAATAAATCCTGGGACAAGAGGTCCAGGCAACTCTCAGCAGGAGGATACGACCGCAGGCCCCATGCACCAGCTCTCGCTTCCCCACCCCCAGGCTGCAGATGTGTTCTGGATGCTGACCTGCTCTCCTTGTCCGCATAGAGCTCCACGTACAGGGGGTTGATGGTGGAGTCGATGACCACCCAGGAGCCCCCCCGCAGCTCGGCCTGCGGTGGGATGTAGACCAGGACGGGCTGCTTGAAGTCCCGCAGGCTGTCGACGATGAAGGCGCCGAACTTCAGCATTTGGTCGTACATGTCTGAAAGCCAAAGGGATTTTAGTGTCTGGGTGCCCTGATTGCCCTAGGCCCCTTGCCTCCTCCTACCTGCCCAAAGCCACCTTCTCCATTGGAAAGGCCAAACAAGCACCCCAAAACCAGCCCAGCAGGAAGCCGCCAAGCCCTGGCAATGGCCCATCGTGTCCCCAGCCCAACCCCACAGAGTGGTGCAGGAAGGGCGCTGGTGGGCTGGGTAATCCCCAGACCAGTGCCCACAGTATGTCACAGCACAGGGATGTGGGCACCCAAAGCTCAGGTACCTTTCATGCCGCTGGAGAAGCCTCTCCAGTTGGCAAAGATCATGAGTGGGAGATGCTCCCGGTTGAAGTCCCGAATAGCCTGGGCTGTTTTAAAAGCAGAGTCTGGGAACCAGACCTGCCCGGCCTGCTGGACTATCTGGAAAAGACAGAGCAGCAGCACCGAGACTGGCACCAGTGCTTCCCACCATGCTGCACCAGTAGGTTGGCAGCACATGGTGTGAAGGAGCTAAAAGACAACAAACTGACCAAGCACCCTTAATTTCACCAGTGTCCATGGATTTTTAAGGAAAAGCCAAGGGGATCACACTAAGCTTTTCCCCTGCTCCCGCCTCCAGCCCCCTCCCAGCTGCCGTTCAGCCACACCAAGGTGTCCCCACACACCTTCGCCTCCGAGTCCAGGTTGGCCGGGTCCGCGGGTATCGTCACCTCCACGGTGCGGGTCTCGACGGCGATGACACCCACAGGGAGACCTCCCAGCCTGCAGCAGGGCAGGGTGCTCTCAGCAGAGGCCAGTTCCCCTCCATGCTGCACCCCAGCCCCACCTGAGAGGCGTTTTCCCTCCACCTTCCCACAAGCAGTGCCATGGCCACACATGCAGGCTCCCTGCATGCCTCCCTGCCCTACCGTGCTCTGCCAACCACAACGGTCTGAGCCCACGGCCTCATGATCTCCATGAAGCTGCCCTGGTCGAAGAAGCCGCTCTGCCAGGTCCCCTTGATTGCTGCAGAGCACAGGAAGAAGTGAAGTGGCACAACAGAGAGCAA